AAATGTAGCAAATCCCATTTGCTTTTGGACCCTGACCCCGCCGATCTGCGTGAGATGTGGCACCGAGTTGTTAGACACGTGGCAAATCCCATTGGTCGTTCGACCCTGACCCCGCCGATCTGCGTGAGGGGTTCCGTTGAATTTCAGAGATGTGGCAAATCCCATTGGTTTCTCGACCCTGACCCCGGCGATCTGCGTGAGGGGTGCCACCGAATTTTAGAAATGTGGCAAATCCCATTGGTTTTTCGACTCTGACCCCGCCGATCCGCGTGAGGGGTGCTACCGAATTTCAGAAGTGCGGCAAATCCTTTATGTTTTCGGACCCTGACCCCGGCGATCTGCGTGAGGGGGGTCACCGAATTTTAAGACATGTGGCAAATCCCATATGTTTTTCGGCCCTGATCCCGCCGATCTATGTGCGGGGTGCCGCCGAATTTCAGAAATGTAATAAATCCCATGTGTTTATGGACCCTGTCTCCGCCGATCTGCATGAGAGGCGCCGCCGAATTTCAGAAATGTGGCAAATCCCATATGTTTTTGGACCCTGACCACGCCGATCTGCGTGAGGGGTGCCGCCGAATGTCAGAAATGTGGCAAATCCCATTGGTTTTTGGACCCTGACCCCGCCGATCTGCGTGAGGGGTGCCACCGAATTTCAGAAATGCGGCAAATCCCATGTGTTTTTGGACCCCGACCCCGCCACAAAATAGGAATCCCTTTGTAACCCGCCACGGAAGGAATCCATTTGCATTCTGCCACAAAAGGATTTTTGTTGTATTCCGCCACAAAAGGAATCCTTGTGCATTCTGCAACAAAAAGGATTCATTGTGTAATTGATAGAGATGATGGAAACATTGTTTTGGGGGGCCAGCACCGAGAATACATACATTTTCTAAGACAACATTGCTTTTCTCTGTGCCAGCACAGAGAACACTTATTCTTTTCAAGAAATCATTGCTTTTCCATGTGCCAGCGCAGAGAGCACAGAGATGCTAATGATTCACGACTATGAAGGCTCGTCTTCCATAGTCTTATGATGTTCCAACCTACTTTAGCTTTGACTGCCCGAAAGAATTTCGAGCATCAAAGAGACACCGCAACTGGAAGGTTTTCTCGTTTTGGGCCCTGGGAGACACTCGTCCGACACTGTTTCGACACTGTTTCGCTGCTGTTTCGACACTTCTCCGGGTGCTCAAATTTATTCTGGGATGTGGTCCTTAAGTACGGTGGGAATAACGCAACCATAGTCTTTAAACCATTAAAATATGTGTGCCCTCTGTGCTGGCACAGATGAGATAATTGTGTCCCCTGTGCTGTCGCAGAAAAATACGATCCCAGAGCGGCCCTACCTAGGAGTTGGAGCCCCGAGGAGAGCAATATTAGTAGTAGCGGTAAAGGCCGTCCTCCTCCTTCTCCTCATCGTCGCAGTTGTAGCAGTAGCGGTAGTAGTAGTAGTAGTAGTAGTAGTAGTAGTAGTAGTAGTAGTCGTCGTCGTCGTCGTCGTCGTCGTCGTCGTCGTCGTCGTCGTCGTCGTCGTCGTCGTCGTCGTCGTCGTCGTCGTTCGTCGTCGTCCGTCGTCGTCGTCGTCGCCGTCGTCGTCGTCGTCGTCGTCGTCGTATTAGTAGTAGTAGTAGTAGTTAAGTATTAGTATGGTTAGTGGTAGTAGGTATAGTAGTAGTAGTAGTAGTAGTAGTAGTAGTAGTAGTAGTAGTAGTAGTAGTAGTAGTAGTAGTCGTCAGTCGTCGTCTCCGTCGTCGTCGTCGTCGTCGTCGTCGTCGTCGTCGTCGTCGTCGTCGTCGTCGTAGTAGTAGTAGTAGTAGTAGTAGTAGTTTAGTAGTAGTAGTAGCAGTAGTAGTAGTAGTAGTAGTAGTAGCAGCAGTAGTAGTAGTAGTAGTAGTAGTAGTAGTAGTAAAAGGACAGCTGTATACCTACATCTACATCTAAACCTACATCCACATCTACACTTACAGCTACATCGACATGTACACATGCATCTACATCTACATCTACATCTACAACTACACTCACATCTACATATACACCTACATATACACCTACATGTACATCTACATCTACATCTACACCTACATCCACATCTACACCTACATCTAAATCTACATCTACACTTTCGCATTGGTGTTGCTGCTGCTTTGCATTGCCTTTGCTATTGCTATTGCTGTTGCCTTTGCCTTTGCCTTTGCTGTTGCTGTTGCTTTTGCTTTGCTTTTGTTGTTGCCTTTGCTTGATGTTGCTTTTGCTTTGCCTTCGCACACACACAGAGACACACACACAGACACACACACAGACACAGCTTAGCTGAGCTAAGCTAAGTTAAGCTAGGCTAGGCTAGGTTAAGCTAAGCTAAGCTAAGCTAAGATACAGCTACGCGAAGCTAAGATGAAGCTAAGATGAAGCTAAGCTAAGCTAAGCTAAGCTATAAGATGAGATACGCAAAGCTAAGGCAAGGGGGCGCAACTGGGGGAACCGCGGGGCGGGGACCGGGGGTACCGCCCGGGGCGAGGAACACTGCCCGGCCCCTTTAAGCCCAGCGAGCAAGAACCCTCTAGGCAGAGCCTAGGTAGGGAACAATGTGTTCAGCAACTCGATCAAAGACAGAAGGAATCCCCTTGTGGCGGAATACCACAGGATGACTTTTATGGTGGAATGCAACAGAAATGTTTTTGTTTTGAAATACCAAAGAAATCCGATTGTGGTGGGAAATAATAGAAGTCTGATTGTGGCGAGTCCGAAAGGGATTCCTTTTGTTGAGGAATACAGCAGGATTCCTTCTGTTGCGAATTACAAAGGGATTCTTTTTGTGGCGGGCCCTCACCCCCCATATCGCAAGGACAACTCCCCACCCCGCAACGAATGCAAAGACCCCCCCCCTCTAATCGGATTCGGGGGGAAAGGGGCGGTGGCGCCAGGCATTCATCCCCTCGAGCTGCGCGGGGACCAGTATCACGTGGGGAGGGGTGCATCTTCTTCCTCCTCCTTTTCCTCCTCCTCCTCCTCCTCCTCCTCCTCCTCCTCCTCCTCCTCCTCCTCCTCCTCCCCTTCCTCCTCCTCCTCCCCCTCCTCCTCCTCCTCCTCATCATCATCATCACCCTCCTCCCCCTCCCCATCCTCCTCGTCCTCCCTTTCCTCCACGCAGGAGGGCCTGGTCGAGAGCACGGCGGCGCTCTGGGGCGCTCTTCGTCACTGTCGGGTGTTCCGGCAGGCCTTCCGTCGCGGCGATCT